TAAATTGGTTTCCATGCAAATAACTGGAGAAAGTATTTTCTGATCAGCTTCAAACCCTAAATACCGGCCTATCGTAATTGCATTTGAATTTGAATCCTATTGGTGTCTTTTTGACAGTTTTATTGAAGAAATTGTGTCAGTTGAAATATCGGTTTTTCATGCTTTAACCCGTAAACGGTCCAAAGGTATGTATACTTTTCACTACCCCAGTGCCCCAAATATTTTGAAAATAAAAAAATCATTTTTTAATGAAAATAGAGAGCACATTTTTCTAAGTGTTACAGGATTAAAATAAAAAAAAATAGGGTCATTTACTTACCGAGATATGAGGCTGCAAAGTTGATACTTAATGCTCACCTGACGGCAACATAGAGTCCTGCCACTTGCGGAAGTGTTTTTTTCCGATATACGAATTTTTTCTCATTTTTATATTATTTTATATAATTTTTAGTTCTGAGAATGGAGCAAACAAATGACTTCAGTGTATCAGTTGTAGTGAAGGAAGCGGGTAGGTTCGTGCCTAGAAGGTTGGAGGAGGGTAAAGAGGTTTTGTGTGCGAGGGCTTGGACTCCAGCAGGCATGCGTGACCCTGTTGATAGGATGATGGAGACAAATGGTTTTTAAAATTGACGTTGTTGGAGTGTGAGCAAAGTAACATTTATGAGGGATTCAGGAAACCGCAGGCCGGACTTGAGTCCTGGAGATGGAAGTACAGTTGCCTGGGACTCTGAAGAGGGTGTTAAGTTGCAGTTTAAAAACTGTAGTGAAAGCCCCTTCTGGAAGACAGTGAGGGTGAATGAGGTGAAAGTTTTTCTTTTTCGGGCCACCGCCTTGGTGGGAATCGGCCGTTGTGTAATAAAAAAAAAAAAAAAAAAAAAAAAAAAAAAAAATTACAATTATTGCAGTTCTTGTATTTCATAACAATCTTTGTTCTGACACTAATATAGTACTGAAATTGTACTCAAATGTACAACACTTGATAGTGGACATTTACACCTGCTTTGGTCATTTACCATTGTCTAGGAAAATATACAAAATATTTATAGGTCAGCAAGTTTTGGATACAGGGGTATAGAACAAGAAAAGGAGAGGGAAGGAGGAAGGAGGGAAAGGGAAAAAGGAAGAAATTCACTTGAGCAATGTGTAAGACAAGTGTTCAATGACAGGCATCAGTGATAAGTCAGATATGAGTTTACATTTGATGGGCACCAGTGAGGGTGCAAAGACAAGGGATGACATTTGATGAGCTCTTATCTCTAATTATCTGTGTCTCTGTCTTATTTCTCTGTCTGCTTGTCTCTTTCCATCTCTCTGCTTGTCTCTCTGTTTGTCTCAGAGAGAGCCACTGTGAACCAACAGGTATTCTTCTGCATTATATCTACAAGCACACTATAGCACTTCAGATTTTTTAGGTTATCCTAGGTAATTTACACTATGTATAATTGTATTTGTGTGTACCTGTGAGACAGATAGACAGAGACAGACAGATAGACAGACAGAGATAGAAATAGACAGACCCTAAACTTGGGGTTAACATCACTTTCCTCGTAAAAGGGGAGTATTAATGGACTTACATCAGGAAATTTG